AATAATCAAAGAACATAGCACTGCTCGTCTATTGCGGTTTACCGAAGCCTCAGCGATTCTGTCGCCCTGACGTATTTGACTGCCCAGACCAAGCTCGTGGCTATCCTTGCTTACTCTTTTTGATGTTGGTGACTGGCCGTTGTTCTTCGATCGCCAATAAAACTGCTCTTTGACTGTCTGCGTAGCCGAATTATTCCATCGGTTGTATGTACGCGGTTGAGTGAATAGGTGAAATTGAATTCGGTAAGCTGAATTGCTACATGAGATATACTTTTGAGTGGCAAAAGATTATGGCGCAGTTAACTTTACTAACAGAGTATTCAACAGGTCAGAAGTGGAACCGAATTTTGATGTACTTGGTGTTTCAATACCTTACTTTCGCATTGCAAACGGAACCATTAACTGGAGATGCAGGTACGATCGATCCACTCAGTGGTGAAGACACAAGACGACGTTACTATACAACAACCGACCGCGCATTCTCACGATTCGTCCTCAAAAAGTAGTAGCCAATGTTACCAAAGTAAAAATTATGCTAGACATGAGAGTGGTTGGTGCCCCACTGAGTAACGAAGTAACGGTGGATACACCCAAACAAACAAAACTTGCAAGAACTCCTGTGAAACACAGAAAAAGCGATCATTAACCTTGTCCAATAACCATACATGGTGATATCCCCGGCAAGTACAGCGAACCTTTCCCTATACGTTAACTAGAGGTGGAAAACACCTCAGGTATTGTGTCGCAAACACCTCAGCTAGTGTATAATGTGAAATGGTGCTTTATGATGCTGGTATGAATGGTCCCCATGCTGAGGCTGATGTTGCATTCTTGATGCTTCTTCACCGCAGTTGGGCTAAACCAACTTACACTTAAACTAGGTCTTTTTAAGCTGGATAAATTTCATTCCACTTTATTTGGTTTGTTCTGCCTACCTGAATAATCTTCTATTAAATGGCCACGTTGCTTACACTAATTGCGCTTATCTTCGGTAACTTTGTTGCGTTTGTAGCATTTTTAAGTAACTTGTGGACATCTTTTACTTATCGCGGATTCGTTGCTAACCAACTTACTTCATATGCTAATTTAGCGAAGAGTTATGCCACCGTATCTCTATGCATTATTGGATGTATTTTATTTCATCTTGTCGTTTCAAGTGATTGGCTGTTGCTTGATATCCCCGGTGTGGCTGCGCTTGATGTGCATGTTGACAAGGTGCCTACCTGTCTATTACCCACTACCTCGTCCATACTGGTTCCAGGAGACAGTTGGTCGTTGCTGGAGGGGACGGGGTGCACGGTCCTCGTGGCCGTGCTAGGCTCCAAGAGCGGTTCCATGCACTCAGTGTGGAGCGGACTACGGTCCAACCACCGCCTTGTGTGCGCTTGATTCCCAACTACAGTGTGCTTGTGTTTGCCTGTGAAGGAGTGTGGGCCGGCTCCGTTGATGAAACGTGGCTCCCATCCACATGCCTCCCGGTCTTATTCCTTCGGGTTTACACTGGATATGGGGTGTGTGGATGGAGCTGTGGGTGGTGCAGCGCAAGCCACCCATGGTCCCTCTGTAGGCGCAGGCGTCCTGTGGCTGGCCACAGTGACAGGCAAATCCGAAACCGGATGCCGCCCACCATGAGTGATCCGGATAGATTTGTTGCAATGAGTGGAAAAGAACTATCAAAAGCATTTTGTAAAGACACAATCTATGGGGTCAGAACATTTGAGAAAGTTCCAAGCATGGTTTAGTAACTGTACACGTGGCAGACTAATGGGGGAAACTGTTATCCGCCTTTACCTCTCACTGCAGAAAAATATACCGAGACCTATAGAAGAATGTTTGAAATGATGAAGCTGTTGCCTAAGAAGATTTAATCAGATTTTGAGAAGAGCTCCATGAACTTAGCGGGAATTTCTTTTCTAGACTCAATCAACAAACGGTGCTATTTTCACCTGTGCCAAAGCTTCGTCAGAAATGTGAGCAACGTCGGCTTAAAGTGGGTGGATGAGAACATAAAACTGCAACTGAAGCCTTTGTTTGTCCCGGTCCGTGATATCAGAATACATTTCGATGAACTCGCTGCCAAATTTTCAAGTGAAGGATCGTATAACGCGGTTCTCACATACTTCTCCACTGATTCTACTGCAAATGTGGAACCGTCACGATACAGTCCTTGAGATGTCGCCGAAAACGACCAATTGTTGTGAGTGATTTCACAAAGCCTTGAACATTTTACTTCACTACAGTCATCCCAGCATCTGATCTTTGTTTGATGGACTACAGAAGGACGTCGCGCGTCAAAGACTTTCAATGGCTAATGCGCAGGTAGGTCGCCTAAGGTGAAGAAAAGATATTATGTGTTGCAACACGTGACAGCCTCCTGCGTCGGATAATGAACAGAAGGCAGACAAGCTGAAATATCAGCGAAGACTGGCAAAATTGCAATAATTAGCATTGTTGATAGAATGGTATATTTGAGAAATTTTGTACAATACTGCCACTTATTTTAGCATAAACATTTCATTAACAGTTTCTTTACATAACACAGAAGGTGGAAGTGCGGGTTTTTCCACGTGAGTATTTCATGGCGGCAGCCCCAAAGATTAGTCCAGAGGAACGGAATCATGTAGGGACACGGTGTGTGTGTGTGTGTGTGTGTGTGTGTGTGACACGGGTGAACCGTGCTGGTTTGAAAAGCGGGAATAGCAGCACGTGTCGCAGATGTGCGAAGGATCGGACTGCGGGCGTGTTTTCGGTTTACTAAACTGTCTTGAACTGACAGTCCACATTTCTTATCGGTCATCTAAGTGTGCAACGGGAGAAGCAAGTTCGATTACAATTGTACACATTGTACTGAAACAAACCGGGTACACCTGCAGATTGCTACAAATGGCTATCAGTCATTTGACGCGGTCTCCAACTTCATCAAGCCAAGGATAAGTTAGCCACGAACTCGATGTGGTCACACCAAGTACGTTAAAGCCACCGAATGGTTGAGGCTTCGGCAAACTGAAGTAGGCGAGCAGTGCTCCGTCTGTTGAGTATTCAGTATGAGTGATGGGGGATTCGGTATGTAGGGCAGTCGTTTATGTGCAAAGCAATCGAACTGTGCGCCACATACCGTGTGTGGCATTTTTGAGGGTGCATTTTTCCGTGTACGCCTTTTGTTGTACGCAATTTTCGTGTACACTTTTATCACGTAACCATAAGAGGCACCAACTAGCACAGCTCAATGGGTCAATAAGGCACACAAACCATAGCACCCTGATAAGGTCTAATCTCATTGCGAATCAATAATAGCAACAACCGGAACCATAATAATAACACACTGGGTGAACAGGAAATAAAATCTCTAGGCGGAATGGTCACGGATCAGAACTAATGGATCGAATGCGAGAACGCCGGTGATTTCGACTGAGGTTCCCATCCCATCGGCGAGTTTCGCTCATACTCGTCTGTCGAAGAATTGAATCCTCACATCGGCCTCCCACCTGATTAGGTGCCGTATTGGAGTATACTACAAGTCGATGCGACCGGGTTGCTGATATGAGCACATGATGGAACTAACCAAGGCGATTCAAATGCAAAAAAGCACTCAAATCAAAACTATTGGCAAACAATAGACGAAGAGACGCACTGTCACATTTTCGGTTCTGTCATCATACATGAGCAACATTGCGAAGCATTTGTAGTAAAAATGGTCAATGTGAAGCGGTCAGATCACTGTACCGCAGCATTAGAAGTCTTTCGTTAACTACTAGGCTTACATCCTCCAAACTTCCCCAGTGGCTGAGATTTTAAATAGCCAAATCAGTATTAGCAATGTGCTCGGTAATGTGCTCACTACATAGACAAGTACACTGATAGACAGTTTGGGGCGGTTCTTCCCTATGAAACTGGCGACGTTTCGCCCCAGTCTTGTGGTAGAAAGTTGTACTCTGGAGGTGTAAATCTCATGCAAAAGTACACAGCGCTGAGTTCGTCTATTCAGAAGGGCTTCCGTAACAGATGAGTCCGATTCAAAGATAGATGATCTGCGTACTTCAAGCTTGACAGTCAATCACCTAACAGAACCTCCACCTCAGAAGTGAAATAAGGCAGAATGGTAGCCTTCATAATTATTTCGAACGCAAATTTTAGAGGAGAGAGAGTGGGCAACCCTGACGTAGTCCACTTGCAGTGTGGAATTCTGGGGTAAATTTCCGTTAGACCCTTACACGTTCAAAGGAGTCGTGACACAGAGATTTTAGAATTGCGATACGCCTCTCTGAGTAAAGCAGCCCTTGGAGTCACGGAAAAATACTACGATAGACTGCTTGTAAACACAGTGCCGTGCCAACTCTTGGAAAACAATGAAAAGGTGATCAAAGCATCCTTTACTGAGGCGGAAAACAACCAGAAGTTTACTAAATCACCTCTCAGGAGGATCACTGAGCTGGCACAGCATGAATCAAATCGGCGGTCTGGAGGCAACCAAATCTAATGCATATTGGAGAATGAGAACTGTGGTGTCTGACTAAAATATTAGCACAGTCCTCCACGAAGAAGGAACACGGCAATGACTGTCAAGCAGCAATCTGTCCATCCTTTTCTATTCGGTCAAGCAGTGCAATACAGAACAACCACGGCAGTCATTAGAAAGCCAACGCAGTCTTTCAGCAACGACGGCGGAATGTCATTCAACCCGTGCGTGATCTCCCACTTCATCAGCATCAACTCCTGTTGGATATAGCCGATTGTGGGGTTCGTCGCGTCGACGTCCCAGGTGGATTCAAACAACCTGTGTAACACTACTGAAAACCAAGTCAACTGAATTGCTTACAAAATTACTCAGCCCAGTGTTTTAGTTAAGGCGACAGAGTGAATCACCAACCCAACAGCTCTCGTTTCACTAACGTGATCATTTCGTGGACTTGTGCGCTGAATAGACTCGAAAAACACTCCGGTGTTTCCGACGGTGTTTGCTTGAAAAACAAGGGAGATCAGAAAATAACAAACTTACCTAGTTTAGAATTGGCCAAATTATCCAAGGCAATAACAGTGTAGGGATGTTGTAGTAATTGCACTACGGTGTGGCTGCCAATGTAGCCTGCGGCACCGGTAACGAGCACAGTGGGCTTGTGAGCAACAGAGGGCAGCACGGTGGTTTTTTGGTCACCAGACACAGTAGAAGAAGGCATCTATAGGACAACAAGGTGATGATGTCGGTTATGAGAAATCAAGTCACGTGAGAAAGCAATGAATCGCACTTTGCAATGTGCACAAAAGAACAGCCTGCTAACGATAGTGTGTGAAGCTCCAGATCGCATGAGCTGAAACATTTGGAACAAGTCCAGAAGTATATCGCAGAATTGATAAGTCTTGAAGGTAGAATATTCGGCGGTACAGATCAAAAACGTCATCAGAGAATATCGCGCAGAAAACGCCAGGCAGGCAAAAACGCAACTGAATAACGGTAATAGGCATCTGGAGAAAATTTCATGACACAATGATAAGCTGATACAAAGGTGTGACAGAGCTGAGGACCGCCAAAGTAGAAAGGAGGAGAAACTGCAGCAGGAGCAGTGCGCAACACAACCGCATAAAACGGATCAATCCATTGGCCAAAGAAACTGTGACACAAGTACTACAGTGTGATAATGCGCCTATCGCGCCGCAGATTGATGTGCTAACCGATATCCCCAGAAAGAAGATGAGGAAAGGCGAGGAAAAAAGAGGAAGAAAGGAAAAGGAACTTACGTCTGTAAAAAAGCACCAGGTTAAAAACTGGCGATTAAGGAAAAAGAATCGAAATCGAGGAAGACTCAAAAGAATGTTGAAAAATATTGCAGTGATAAAAACCCGGGGAAACTAAAAGAAGCAGAATGAACCGGTGCAAAAAGCAGTCGTCGCAAATCGGCAAAATGGGATCGAGTTGGGCCGCAAATGGGCGCAGTTCACCAGCGTTGAATAATAGCGAATAAGCTAGTTCATCGACCCAAATGGCAGGATTAATCTTGGATAGAAGCGAAAGACTGGGTTTCGGCATGCTAACGATTAAAACGCGCTGGCTTTTGTCAAGTGCTTCATTAATGAAGCACCGACCGGATGAATCGAAAGTCGGTGTGATCGTAAGTAGCAAAGTGTTACATTCATCGATGACAGTGGTTAGTTAGTTCAACCCCACCGCGTTCTTATCGATTTGCCGCGGACTGACAAATCAATAGTGCTTCACCTCATGCTTTAAGTCGTGCGTCATGTGATCCATGTGGGCAGTTTTTGACCCCATACTGTGTTTTGTTCTACTTGACTGCGGTATGGGGCGTGTCTTGCTTGACTTCGTTACTACGCAATTTTGGCGGAGGTGGGTAGGTAAAAAAGCACGGGAATATTGTCTGGGAGCAAACGAAGAAGGTGGCATGTATAACACAGCGACACCACACAATTTGAGATACCAAACGTAGAACACACCAACAAGAAGAGGCTAAATGAGACAAAAGGTCACTGCATTGTACAGCACACTGACAATCGGTGTCTCATGGAATTCAGACGCCATCGATATCGATCCTGGCCAGATAGTATTGTGAAGAGAGAAGTAGATACAATAAGAGCAAATGAAAATGTGAGGTATACGATATTCGAATGCTTTGACAGTACACGATAATCAGCATTTCGCACGTTTTCAGGAACGCCTGAAGATGGATGTGTTCGAAATTCGGTTGAGCGTAAAGAGAGAAGACAAGTTGTAAAATGAACACAAGCAACCACGAAGAAAAGCAAGCACATTTTTCGCAGTTACACTACCGAAACCCGGTACCGCCAACTTTAGAATCTGCATATACAAATTTATCCTTATGCAACAGAAAATACATGTAATATTCCAGATATGACCACACACAGGACCAAATTCTCTAAAGTCGGCAAAGATAACGGACAAATCACAGTCTGTCGGATTCCACTGAAGCATGCCACAGGTGCCGTCTCTAGTTCCTTTATTTTCCTGCCCCGAACAATCATCCCGACATACACACGTTCCCTCGTCACATGCTTTATCGACTGTCCCTCAGCCTTTCCATCGTATCCTCATTCCGGACACATGTTCATTACCTGAGTGAGCGTAGACTAGATTCACCATCATACCCACCCGTTCTCCATGTGCACTGGTCAATGGCTAAGCGACTGACGATTGATCACTTTGTTGTAAACCACTTTGAATGACATCGAAACCGCTTCGCATTAGTTTGCTTATCGGTTGACCGGTGCTGTTGTTTGGCCTGGTTTGAAATCACGTTGCATTTGAGAATCGAAATATTGTGTACATTTTGGTCTGGATATTGTTTGGCGTTTGTCATTAAATTGTTGGCTAACCACTTGTAAATAGCATCGTAGCTCGTCCGGCTTTGTCTTTTAGATTGACACG